TGAGGTGCCTTATGAGGGGGAGTCGCTAAGTATGCTTCTGGTGATACCATTTGAGAGGGATGTGCCTCTGTTGGCCCTGAACAAAGAGCTGAGAAGCAGCAGGATTCACCAATGGAGAAAACAGATGAGAAAGATTAACAAACAACTTGCTATTCCAAGGTAACACATCTATTTCTGTGAACTTGTGTGGGATTTTTATATTGTGATGGACATTTTAAAACAGGAGGCCTAATGTGTGTGTTATGTAATGATATCTCAGGTTCTCCATGGATACAGAAACTGATCTGAAGTCCACACTGAGCAAGATGGGTCTTGGAGACATTTTCAGCCAGAGCAAAGCTGATTTCTCTCACATTACCAGTGAGTGTTGGAAATGATCAGATTTCACTTTTAGCAATGATGTGGCTGTTTTGTTAAAGGATAAATAAATGTGTGTTAATGGATGCTCTTTTTGATGAAACTAATAGTGTTGTGTCTCTCTCTATTTTTCCAATTAGCTGAGGAACCTTTATGTGTATCCAAGGTCCTTCAGAGGGTAAAACTTGAGGTGAATGAAGAAGGAACCAAAGGCTCATCTGCCACAGGTACAGACACTGAATTACAATACAGTACAAAAGTATTCAATAGCAATAACAGTCATTATAGTGAAACCAAAATGCATATTTTACTTATTTATTTTTCTGTGATTTTCCCCAGCGGCTGTCATCTACTCTCGTATGGCTGTAGAGGAGATCAAACTCGATAGACCCTTCTATTTCCTCATTCAACACAAACCCACTGGTCAGTTGCACTTTTCACATGCTTTTACCTTATTACATTTAATTTTGCTTACTTTTTATCTGGATATGTGTCGGTGTAGTTTTTTTTTTGGTTGTCTCCCTCAATATTAAAATCCCCTGGTTAACTTCACAGGTGCGTTGTTGTTCAGCGGTCAAGTGAACCAGCCTCAGGAATACTAACAGACCAAGGTTGTGTCTGAAGTGCCCATACAAACAGAAGGACCAAGGAAACTGCCAACAAGTCTGCACACAACATACTACTGAAGACAGGAGATGCTGAGAGTTCAGTTTTAGAATGAATTTTGGAGGAAAAGCTGTAAAACCTTCTATATCTGTCATGTGAGCATAGCTTGAAGTGCCAAACTTTAAAAAGAAATAGATGTTTATTCAGTATGTGTCCTTAGCTATGGGAGAGGAAAGAGTTATAATATAAAAGAAAGGATTAC